AATATAATACAGTGGTTTAGCACACGGGAAGGAGAATCAGATCAACCTAGGATCAAATCCCAGTCCCGCCACTCTCAATTCTTTCTGAGCCTTCACTCTCTAATCTATAGGATGGGGGCAATATCTGAACCATCCTTGTAGGTGGAGATGGGATGAAGCATTATCAAGCTCTCAGCAGACAGGGAGCATTCCCCAAGTGTCTGCCCCCATGATAATCATCTCTGGGGTATCTCAGAGCAGCAGCCTTGCTAGAACAAGATGAGGCAGAGGCCCAGCTTGACCTGTCCCCTCCCAAGCTGCTGGAAGAGGCTTCCCCAGCCAGCATGGCCAATAAGGTCCAAAGCTGTAGACCACAGACCTGGCCCAGCCAACGTCCTTGCAGCAGACCATGGGCAGAACGCAAAAAAGGGGTGCAGGGCCAGCCAGACAACAGAAGAACCAGATTGTTTATCTTAAAGTCGAACGTGTCTTCTAGGAAGGCGGCCTTTTATTTGGGTGATGCTAGGAGAGGCTGATCAGCTTAAACTCATTATCTGCACATATGGTTTTCATACCATGGTGAAGGGTGGGAAACAAAGGGTGGAAGGGAAAGGATGGGCAAATGCTAGCTGATGAAATATCATCCCCCAACTGCCAGGAACCAGGATATTGTCAGTGACGTCGATTTGGGCTTCCTCCCATGGGGACGGGGCTACCATAAGCATGGTCACAAGATTCAGGAGTCCCTCAGTGAGTCAGGGAAAGGAAGAAAACAACCAAAAAAGCAACTTATTCACCCTTGCCTTCTACCCCAAAGACAGATATTCTCTCTCTCTCCCTCTCTCTCTCTCACACACCAAACACACACACACACACACACACACACACACACACACACACACAAGCTAGGCCCCAGAAAACTAGAAAGGACCCAAGTTAATCCCTCCCTTTTTACAATAATAGTAATAATGATAATCATGACAACAATGATAGTGAACACTTATTGAGCACTTACTATATGCCGGGCATTAGGCTAAATGTTCTACCAGTTTTATCTCAAAGACTATCCACAACCATTCAATGGGGTCTTACTAGTTCCATTTTACAAGTCAGGAAACGGAGGCACCAGGGGTTGAATGGTCTAAGGTCACACACCTGATAAGGATAAAGCCAGCATGCAAATCCAGGCAGTCTAACCACCATGCACTGCTGCATCTAACGAAATAGGAGGGCCGGGTGCGGTGGCTCACGCCTGTAATTCCAGCACTTTGGGAGACCGAGGCGGGTGGATCACGAGGTCAAGAGATCGAGACCATCCTGGTCAACATGGTGAAACCCTGTCTCTACTAAAAATACAAAAATTAGCTGGGCATGGTGATGCATGCCTGTAATCCCAGCTACTCAGGAGGCTGAGGCAGGAGAATTGCTTGAACCCAGGAGGCGGAGGTTGCGGTGAGCTGAGATCACGCCATTGCACTCCAGCCTGGGTAACCAGAGCGAAACTCCGCCTCAAAAAAAGAAAAGAAAAAGAAATAGGAAACTGAGGCTCAGAGCCACACAAGGCCACATGGCTCCATCTGTAACAGAATCAGGGCTGGAACACAAGTCTCCTAAGGCCTGGTTCAGCTGCCTTTCTGCCCCATCCTGTTGCCTTTTGTACACACTTGCCCATGACCAGTGAACATGTTTTTGCTCATCTCCAAGTTGTTGAATTCACTAATTAAGCCAGCCGTCTCGGGTGCAGACCAGGGCCAAGGGCTGGATCTTAAGACAAGTGCCCAGAGGAAAGACCAGCCCTGCCAGCTACAAACACAGGCTCACCATCTTCCTCTCCCACTCTTTATAAAAACTGTCTCACGGTCCACCCCCACTCCCTCAGATGGAGTGCTCATGCAGGTCCAAGGTGCCAGCCCATGGCAGGAGGAGCCCAGGCTGGTGCATTTGCTCCACGGCATCAGGTGGTGGAAATGCCTGATCAATGGGCATCATCTGCTCCATGGGACCAGATTACTGGTTTCCAAGTCCCCCTCCCTGTGCTGCACCCCAGCTGAGCATGAACAAATGTTCCTGATTTTCCCTCTCAATGGCTGACTAAATAGGCCAGAAGAGCAGCCCTCCAGAAAGGGAGAGGTCCCTAAAACCTGCAGCCCAGGAACTGAAAGGACTCTTCCCAGGGAAGAGCAGGAAGCAAGCTTGCAGACTGATTGGGGAGGGGGGGTTTACAAATATTCCCCTCTCTACCCAAAACTGCTGGGCACTTTGCCCTTCAGCTCTGATGGCAGGAGCTGGTTCCTGGATCTGCTGGGTTCACTCAAGGCAGGATTTTGCTGTGTACAGACAATCCTGGCAGGGAGAGGCAAGCCAGCCAGGAGAGGCACCTATAAGTTTAGATTCTGCTGCTCTAAGTTGCAAGATTGCTCAGAATCTCCTCAGCCAACATACTCATTTTACAGACTGAGGAAGCAGGCTCCGGAGGGAAAATCACTCACCCAAGGCCATGCGGATGACTCAGAAGAGCTAGATTTCATATCTGCTATTTTCCTTTTTCCTGGCACCCCCTCCCACAAATCCTTGACTTAATCCCTTGTCCCTACCCAGCACCCTGTCTTCCAACACACCTCTCAGACCATTAAAATCTCATTTTCTAAAAGGCAGAGGGTTCCTTCCTGGACTCAGCCCAACTAACTTCCGCTTCTAGAAAGCATCCTGGAGCCTTGAATGATAGGCTGCCCTTTCAGCCTGGGGTTGGGTAAATGCATCACATATACTGGCCATTTGAATGGGTTTGGGGACAAGAGAGACAAGGAAACAAGAGTGCCCAAGACTTGACATGTTTACATCAGAGAACTTGGAGTTCACCTGGGAGAAGACTGAGTCGATACTTTAAGCCCCAATACGAACTTTAGTAGCCCTCGGGGAGCCTCAATTCCCTCGGCAATTCAGGAAAAGTGGGGTGGGGGTGGGGAGAAGGGGGGGGAACAGAACCCGGGAAACGCCAGCCTTCTGGGGGCCCCATACTCCCAGGCAGGTTCCAAGGCAGGGCTGGTCCAGCAGCTTCCTTCCACAGAAAAGGCAAAACAACAAAAAAACTTCTTTTGTCTTCCAGCCCCCTGGAATGTCTTAAAGACCTATCCAGAGACAGCGGGCTTCTCCACCCTTTCCCTGCTCTCCTCGCTCCTCCTCCTCTTCTATTCAAAATAAAAATCAAGCGGATCTTTTTTAGAGCAACTTTGTCCTGGAGCATTTCAGTAGCATCCAACAAAAACACGTGGCGGACTACACCCAACAGAGGAACCTCGTCTCTTTCGGGGACCCCTATATCCCCCACATTTGTAAGTGACATTAAAGACACGGGAGCCCAAGGAGCACAGGTCACCAGCCAAGGGAAAGATGAAAACTTCTGTCAACCACAGTGAGGCCACGGTGGTTCCAGGATTTGCTCATTCACACTCACTTGGGGTGAGGGGAGGAGGGAAGGAACTGGAGAGAAAGATGAGGCAATAGCCCCTCCAGCGTCCCTTCAATGTTAGCCCCGCACACGACAAAGATGACACTCCTCACAGATGCCAGCAGCCGTCGACTACCCGAGGCACAGACACAGAGACTCAACATACAGAGACCCTGAGACCAGACAACTGGGACCTGGGGCAGATTTCCACCATAACTGTCAAATGACAAGAATGTGGCCTAGAGACCCAGACCCAGGGGGTGAGGGTGGGGGCCCAGGGCTCGTTGACTGCCGAGAAATTGAACACTTCTGCCTTGACTGCTAAAGTTTTTAAGGCCCCATCCCCCACCTCCCACCCTGTGCCTCCCAGTTTACTTGGGCACAGAGAGAGGATACCCCAAGACTCCCATCCTGCCTTTACCAGACAGGGATTAGGCCAGATCCAAGGAACAAAGGTGCAACTTTTGCAAAAAGGGTGCAAGCATTTTGGGGTTTCGGTTTCTGCAACTCCAAGAAACTTCAAAAAGTTAATTCCCCAACTCACTCTCTCCGCACCGATCCGCAGCTGCAGTTTCTTACGTCTTTTCCGGGGGGCAAATGTCTTACTCATCCACTTGCCCTGCCAGCCTCCCCAAGAAAACTCACATCCCGACTCCCAGCCTTTCCAGCCCACGGCGCAGGTGTAACTGGGAACCCTTCGCCTCACCCTCGGTCCTGCTCCCCCGTCTGGCCAGTGCAGGGCGGGCTCCCCGGGCGGGCCCCCGCGTCCTGGAGGTCGGCGCAGTTTCCTCACAGGAGCCAGGACGCGCTTCCTGCGGGCGAGGGCCGGGGCAGGGCGCCCCCTGGCGGGAGCCCACTCGCCTCGTTCCAGCAGGACCCGGAGCCGGCGCGATCCCACCCGGGCCGAGCACCCTCCCAACCGGCTCCCACTGCCCCTCTAAATCCGGACGTGCCCGAGCCTCCCATCCACCCCGCACCCCACGGAATCTCCGCTTGCCCAAACCGCACACGCCTAAGGAATAAGGGGCGTCCTGGAGGAACGCGTGGCGCCACCGCCCCGCCCCTCAGCCAGGGACACCAAAGGCGGCCCGCCCTCTTTGCCACTGCCCGTCCCCGCAGCCCTCCCGGCCCGGATCGCCGCTCCGGGTCCCTGGTCCCTCCCTGCCCTGCTACCGGGTGGCATGGCGCGCAGCCCCTTTCCGGGCGCAATCCTGGCCGAAACCCCGAACCTCGCAGCCACACCTGCCACCCCGCGCCGTTCTCCAGAAGCCCCTACTCCCCCGCCAGGAGCGTGGGGCGCCCACCGGCTCTGCACCTGTCCTGGGCGCAGCCCCGGCCCTCGGCGGACCCGGGGCCGGCACCGGGCGAGCCCGTCCCCGGCCCCTCCAGCCCCCGCGTGCTAGTTTGAGTGGAACTTGGCTGCTGGGCTTCCCGAGACCGTCCTGGGACCCCCGCTCCACCCCACTCGCCCGCCGCGTCCAGCAGCACCCCCGAGCCGGAGCGCGGGGGCTCCCCAGATCCCCAGGGGCGCGGCGGCAGCGTGGGGAAGGCGCAGAGGTGCGGAGCCCCCTACCTTCCAACGGCGGCGGCCGGACCCCGCACCAACTCCCGCCGGCGGCCGGGGGGAAACTTTCCTCCGCGGAGGGGCGCGCTCGCAACTTGCCCGGCGCCGGGTGCCTTCCCAGAGGTGGCGGTGCGTCCGGGGACCGCAGGCGCGAGGCAGCAGCTTTCGCTCGGGGCTCGGGGCCGGGGCCGGGGCAGGCGCCGGGGCTCAGGCAGCCTCGCTCCGCTCCGCGGTGGATCGCTCAGCGCTGCGTCCGCCCCGCAGCCTGGAGCCCCGCGACGCCGGCGGCAGCTGCACGCCCGCCAGCCCGCCGGCCCCACCTCCGCCGCCGTCCGTCCCTCCCCTCCCCCGCGCTCCCTCCCCCTCCCCAAACCTCCGCCCCTCCCCGCTCCCGCCGCCGCCGCCGCAGAGACGCGAGTCTCCTGCGCGGGCTGCCCCTCGCCTCCCGCCGGCCTCGGCCTCCGCGTCCACGCCCTGTCTGGGGGTCCCTGGGCCCGCCCTCTGCCCATCTCCCCTTCCTCCGCCCCCGACCACCTCCCGCTCTGCTCGCCCGCCCTCGCTGCGTCTGAATTCGGAAGATCGTCGCGGGAGTGGGGAGGGGCACGGTGGACCCGGGGTGTTTATTCCAGGGGAACTTTCAGCTGCCCCCGGGGCCCGACCGCTGGGCTTGAGGTGGGATCCTCGGGCTGGACCTCGTTCCTGGGCTTCACGTTGCCCCCGGAGTACCTGTGGAAAGCCTGGGGAACTCACCGTCCTTTGACTTGCAGATAAGAGAGGGGCCTGAACGCAGGTCAGATGCAAGTGACTTGATTGCTAGGGGCCAGATCTGTGTCTCCAACCTCACAGCTGAAGTTCTTGGTGGGCTGGGGAGCTTATCTTTTCTTTGTACTGCTGCCACAGCTGCACCCCCTCCCAGACCCTGACCTGACTTCACTGAGACTTAGAACCTCTGAGCTTCCGTTAAAACAGCTACCCGGCCTGCCCCAGACAAAACGGACAATCCAGCAGATCCCAGGCGACAGCCCAGGTGAAAGTGCTCGGTGACTGCCTTGACGACCGGGGCTCCGGCTGCCCACTCCTCTTCCCTTGGCAACTCTGTTTTGAGTCCTAGACTGAAGCTTCCACACCCCGTCCCCAGGGGCCCTAGAATTCAAGCACACTCCAGCTCTGCACGAGGCCCTTGGCCAACTGATTCTCACTAAGGAGTGACTGATAGGAAGGAGTTGACCCTGCTCCTGTCTTGTATATAAATGGTGGTGGTGAGACCACAGGGCAGATTTTGGGGTGTCTTTTTGTTTTTGTTTTGTTTTTTAGACAAGGCCTCACTCCGTTGCCCAGGCTGGAGTATAGGGGGGAAAGCACAGCTCCCTGATAGCCTCCACCTCCTGGGCTCAAGCAATCCAATCCTCCCACCTCAGCCTCCCAAGTAGCTGGGACCGCAGGCATGCACTATCATGCCTGGCTAATGTTTTCTGTTGTTTTTATGTTTGTGTTTTTGTAGAGCTGGGGTCTTACCATGTTCCCCAGGCTGGTCTCCAACTCCTGGCCTCAAGTGATCCTCCCACCTCAGCCTCCCAGAGTGCTGGGATGATAGGTGTAGCCACTTCACCCAGCCACCAGCCAGAGTTTTGAGAAGCAGAAGTGGCTGCCTTTCCTTGCCCACATTCCAGGAAACGGATACATCCCTGTAAGGACTTTAGGGATGTCTGGTCCTTTCAAGAACTTCACGGACTCTCCAGGACTCAGAGTAGTCAGGTTGCTGGAAGAAAAAGTCCTGGATCCATGGTTTTAAAGGGACCCATGGGGAGGAAATCTCTAATGGTGGTGTTTCTGTAAGAGGAGGACCAGAGGAAGGCCTCTGTGTTCACCCTTCAGCTGCCAAAACAGAATGGAGGGTGGAGGTTGACCCCTCTCACTGAGAACCACACAGGCCCTGCACTTGGGGAGGCTGCCGGGAGAGGCCCTGTGTCGGCCTCCTTGGACACCAGCCCCACATACCTTTAAAGAAGAAAAATGGGAAACCCAGTGAGGGTGCTGGAGCTTGGGAAGTGGAGACCAGAGACAGACAGAGGAAGGGATAGAGCCTCTAAGGGTCTGGGGTTTGGCAGTAATGGGCAGAGCGTAGGGGAAGAGCGGGCAGATCCTCTGCACCACTCAGACAACCAGCTGGGTCTGTAACTCCGGCTCCAAGTCAGTTTCCTGGACCTCCCCCTCTCTCCAGCCTCCGTGGAGAACCCGGCCCTATCTGTGCACCAGCTAAGGACATCTGCTGAATAGCCGTCTCTAAATCAACTCTTATTTTGTCATTTTTGGATTTACTTAAGTGAGCTTGTTTTTAAAAAGATCTGTTAAATTGCTACCATAAATGGAAGGCCAGCATCACATTACTATAAATAGAAAGTAACCATTAAAATAAATACAATGAAAATAAAAGTGTTATTAAATTCTAACAATGTATCTTTAACCACAATAATAATAATACAGTCTAACAAGATACTGCTGCCTGAGGAAGGTGAGGAGGCCCAGGCCCCACTTTCCCTTGGAAAGGGAGATTAGCAAAGGCTCGAAAGCTGTTAAAGACACATTAGCAACAAACTCTTCATCAAGAGGGTTCAAAGAGAACTGGGAAGGGACCCCCTCCAACCCCACTGCTCACCAGGTCAGTTAGGGTATTGGAGGCCCTTGGATTACCTCCAATGACTTTCATCTCCTTGAAAATCTCTGATGTCCTCTTAATTGGGAAGCATAAATATTGGTGCAAAAGTAAGTGTGGGTTGGGCATGGTGGCTCATGCCTGTAATCCTAGCACTTTGGGAGGCTGAGGTGAGTGGATCACAGGGTCATGAGATCGAGACCATCCTGGCCAACATGGTGAAACCCCATCTCTACTGAAAATATAAAAATTGGCTGGGCATGGTAGTGCTTGATGTATTCAGCTCCTCGGGAGGCTGAGGCAGGAGAACCGCTTGAACCTGGAAGGCAGAGATTGCAGTGAGCCGAGATTGTGCCACTGCACTCCAGCCTGGTGACAGAGCAAGACTCTGTCTAAAAAAAAAAAAAAGTAATTGTGTTTTTTGCCATTGAATGTAATAGCAATACCACAATTACTTTTGTACCAACCTAATATATGAGGACAAAAAATTGCTTTTCCTTTAAAGTTAGGTGCTCCAAGAATTTAGTCCTGGACAAGATAGGGCGGATAGGGGTTGCAGGTAGAACTCACCTCCCTTTCACAAGTAATCTTGGGAAAACCCTCCCTTCTCTGGCCTCAGGGCTTCCATCTGTAAAATAGAGGCTTGGGCAAATGGCCCATGGAATCCCTTTGGCTGTCTGATGAGAGCAAGTAAGGCACCAAGGTTGTGGCTTACCAGGAAACTCAGAAAGTGAAGGCTCCACCAAGGTGGGAGCGCTGGAGAGGGGAGAAGCGGGGAAGGAATCACAGAGCAGGCAGTGGGGCTGTGGATGGGCGGGCAGTCCTCAGGAGGGAGAAGGAGCAGGGAAGGATAGAGTCCAACCCACTGGAGTCTAGGTTGGCAGAAACCCAGAAATGGCCTGGCCTAAAGTTCTGGAAAGATTCAGGAAGGAACCTTATGGATAATTCACTGTAATCCAACCACTTCATTTTACCAATGGGGAAACTGAGGAAGAAACAAAGACTAGATTTTCATAATAGTTAAGAGCTGGGCATTGGACCCAGACCTCCTGACTCCCAGGCCAGGGTGCTTTCAATATCTCTGGAATTTGGGCATCTAGTAGAAGTTCTTCTTCTGAAAATACTCACATTTCCCCTAAGAAGCTCTTAGGCTTTGCTTTCTCCAGCATCTGGAGAAAAAAGTTGAATTGGCCTAAAAGCCCAAATTCACCAAAGTGTGTCTAGTGCTGCACCACCCAGGTTCTACACCCCAATCACTATACACAGGACACCTAGGGTGAGCATTTGCCCAGCATCCTGGGAGCTCTAATGCCCAGCAAAAATCCCTGAACCCAGAGTCCACAGGCTCACATTCGAGTCTCAGTCATCTGGGTGATTCCTTCCCGTCTCCGAGCCTCAGAGTTCCCACCTATGAAATGGGGCATCTGGATCAGCAGTTTGAAGTTGGGTTGGTAGACCCTGCTTCTAGGTATTTTAAGAATGAGAATGGTGAGAGAGGAAGAGCAATCTCCCTCTCGGCTTTAGCCAGAAACAGGTTCCCTTTTTCATCTGCTTTGCATGATAGTGCCTCACATGAGATTTCAAGGAGAGAGTGTCCTTCGCTTAAAAGGCATTTGACATCACTAGAAGGGATGACCTCTGGCTCCTGACATTTATAATGCGATGGCTGATTAGGCTGCGTGCTTCTCAAGGTCTGGGGCCCTACTTTGTTCATCTCTGGATTTCCAAGACCCAGGGCAGAGCTGCTACTCAGGGGAATTTTTACACCACCTCCTAACTGTGCCACCTGGAGCCCGCCACCTAAACTCTCCCATGCATTTCCAAATGGGAATGGTAACTGCAACTCTAGCATTGGGTGGCTGTGAGGGTCTCATGGAAAGTTCTCAGTGTAGCTCCTGGAACATGCTAAATATGCAATACAGGTGAGCCCAATGCACGAACGGCTGTTCGGGTAACACTAGACTTGGCAGGTTCTTTCTCTGGCATGCTGACCTTACAACCTAGCTTTGCCAAGGCAGTCTGCATTTTAAATGTTTAATCATTGCCTCCCTGATTTTTTTCTGAATTGTCTCCTTTTATATGTAATTTGCAATCATTTCCAAAACGTGACAGTTCATTAAATGTACAACTGAGTGATTAAATGTGTTTATCTTTGCAATGACTTTCATGGAAATAAATTCACAAATCTGAGGAACATCCTGTGGAGATTTGAAGGATGTGGTCTCGACCCTTCCAGGCCTGGACTAGTTCAGAGATTCCTCCACTTTCTCTCTTTTTCTCCCTTCAACAAGCTACACACAAGCCAGGGCCAGCCTCTCTTGAGTGTTTTTAGCACAAGGTCCAAGGGCCTGCCTGCTCCTTCTCCACCCTCAGGAATGCTTGCAATTCCCAGGGATGCGCGCGCGTGCACACACACACACGCACACACAATACACACCCTGCACACACACGCAAGCACACACCATACACACCCTGCCACACACACACACACAATACACACCCTGCCCCCCACACATACACACTGAAAACACACACACACACACACACACACACACACACACACCACACCCTGCAGGAAAAGAGGGAGAATCTGGATGGCTTTGCTGGGAGGGGCCCAGGGTCAAGCTTCCTCTGAATGCATTGTAGCTGAGCTTTCCAAA